CACACTCTTTGGAATACTCATGGGATCCCTTGCGCATACAAAATTGTGTAGAAAATGGAAGATAATGACACGTTCGTCATTTCAAACTTGCATCTATCCTGGAGTACCATGGCAGTTGAACCTTCAGAGCTACCTGAGTATCATGTAAACCGCTAGACGATTGTAGATAGTTAGATTGATGGCCTGGATTTCCATTTGAAGAAGATGAAATACATGAGCAAGATAAATGCCATGGCCTCATTGCGTGGCATCGTTTATCCGTCTATGTCGCATCTGTTCGAGCCATCATTTGTTAAGACCAAAGGACGACCAAAGAATAACTCGACAAAGAGAGACCCTTCTGGATGGCAGTATCATATTGACGAGGAGAAAATTAAGTTGTCTTTTGGTTCCAAGGGTCGTCAATCCTCTCCCGCTGCAAAGATTCCTAAAGCAAAGATTGATAGAAGCAATGATGGAATGCCTCAATCGAAGATGAAAGGTCGTGGTTCTCGTATTCCCACACAAGAATCTTCTGCCCCTACAATACCTGCACGTGAAGGCATCGACTTTTATTCTTTTTGTTGGGGATCAGACACGTGTACGCAGCAGAAAACAAAAAAAAAATATTTACATAAACTAATTCATATAGACAAATACGTGCACATTATTTACAATTAATTGCTTACCTTTTTCGCTTCCAATCACCGACAAACATGCTCTCATATATAATTAATTTAAATAACAAAAATTAAATCATTATAGCATGCTCGCGAAATTATATCAAATAATAAACATGCTCAACGAATGATTCACATAAACACATAATCGAACATATATATTCATGTGATTCAATAACCAATTAACATAAATTAATCTCAATTAATATAAATTAATTAATATATATATATTAATTAGGGAAAAATAGATTTACCCTTGATGCATGAATCCAACGAAGACTCGAGAAGATGGCTAGCTGCTCTTCCCACTCCTACTGATCCAACCTATTTTCTGATCTGAAATTACATGCCTGCTCCGACTTCAATATCTCCATGGTTATTGGATGGATCGCCAATTCCTTCTTAGGTATTGTATATCCATGAGTTCAGAAGCTTTTGCCAAAATTTCACGTCGATCCGATTACTAGTTGAATTTATGTCGAATTTTCTCGTTGGACTGCGCAGAAAATCCGAGAGCAGTTTTTCAGAATTACCTTCTCACATCACCAGCTTGTGGCGGCGCGTGGAGGCGCGTGAAGGCGACCTTGGCTGCGGCGTTGACGGCAGAAGAATATTCCTCCTTTTAAGTTGCACCTCATATATTCAATCCAATATCCACGCAGCACTAGATACGTGATAGGCTAAATACAACGAAGAAGAACGAGGGGAAAAAGGAAGATGCCGATGCGATGGCGACTGGCGGCGGCGCGGCGGCTGGTGGCGGAGGTAGGGTTTCGTGTGCAAGGTGAACCGCTGATGGAGGGAGAGAGGCTAGGGTTTCATGCTTCTCTTGTGTGTGTTTTACAAGACATATAAATCCTATTTATATGGTCCTTGTGAAAACCCTAACAAGCTTAAATTGGGTTAGGCCCAACACCTTAAGCCCACTCTCTTTCGCGACTCGTTTCTAACAAACGAATGCTAGCAAAAAGTATAACAATTATATTTTGACGATGAGCACATAATTCTCGTCAATACGAGTACCACTTTGCAATTTTTCAATTTCCGAAATTGGAAACCCTAATTTAGGACCTACCAAATCGGGAAACTTCCTAGTGTAGAAAGTTTACTAACTTTTCGTTGAATTATTTTCCTCTACTTATTCTCATCCGTAATTAGCAATTACGAATGTTGGACTCAATCACATTGACTTCCAGTTATACTAAGATTAAATAATTAATCTTAGCTCATTGCATTAAGGATCTAAAGTACACGTGCAGTGTGACCCTCGATGGTTCAGGGGTAAGCTAGCCGTGGGCCGACAACACATTGTGGTTTAAACTCGTCCCTAGAGTTATAATTAAGTTGAAGCTAGTTTCAACATAAATACCCAACGAATCAATATTGGCGTCTAGCAACTACGCGTCATGATTCCCTAGATACAAATGAAGTGCCTGCAAGAACCGTGTGATATAGTTACCGTAAAGTATGATCCATTCGATGCATATATCCCGATTGAACTAGAGGCATTGGTTCATCGAGACCTCTTTATGAGTTCAATAGTTGCGTGGACGTTCTTATTATATAATCCATTCGTGTTTGACTTAAAGAAACACATTTCTCTAATCACGACACTTTCAGTTGTGACCACAGACTTTATGGATTACAAATCGCAAGAACACACATGATATCCATGACTGATCAAGCGATCGAATCCCTTACTATAATACATAAACCTCCCACTAGATTTCGGACTGCACGAACACTGGTACATGGGGCGGTCCTCGGTGGAACTCAGGGACATGTCACGATACAGTTGGTCCTCTAGTGAAGTCACAGTGATGTCTGGGTCTTAAGGATTAATGGTGTACAACTATATCATAGAAACCTCTACTTGATTATTGGGAACCACTTAGATATCTCTAGATTGAGGGAGTTCAGTGAACTCATCAACTTATGAGCACTCACTTATGTATGCCAATGTGACAACACAGTTGACTGATGAGACGCATTACACATACATTAAATGCTAGTAGTCTCAAATGGAAAAGGCCGATATCCTCATTAGTGGCGTAACCCGTTGACTAGGAACTACGTTTAACAATTACTATACTTAAATAAATAATCTCAAGATTCTACTAGATCTATTTATTGTAATTAAGTAAATGTAAGGACTATATATATGCTTATGCAAGGGACAAATATATAGAATCCCAAAGGGGGTATTTATCATTAATATGAAATAGATTATTTACGAGTAGCGTGAGAAAATACGACAATTAGTTGGCTCTTCGGTCACCTACTCTAACACTTACGTGCCCAGATTTATGGTCCGTCGTATTCAAGATTAAGTTAACGTGATGGCGGATGGCAGCTGTGGGTACCGGTGCGTTGCTCAAGCCGTGTACGGGGATCAAGAAAGATGGCCGCAAGTGAGAGGGTAGTTGCTTATTGAGTTATACGAGCATGCTAATGTGTACACGACAATGTTTGGCAGTACTGGATACGTTGAGGTCATACGCAAGTGTGACTGGCCCTCAGACCCTTGTCCACAAGCTTATTGGATGGACATGAATGAAATGGGATTAGGCATATTGCTATCAAATACAGTGTATTAGTGGTACTTTTGACCCAAGTAGGGAGTATGACTTACCTTCCTATGTTTGGCAGTGGTCACTTATCATGTATGATTGTCGTGACATTGCACAACAATCATTTCATGCTTGTTAATTTGGTCGCGAATAGTCCTTTACCACCTATGCATTCGACATGGGTACATCATAGAGCTAAAAACCTGAGGCACTTACTCAAAATGTTCAAACCCCGACTACTCTTGTACGAATAATTAAAGTCCGGTCGGTAGTTTACAAAATGTTATTTTATTGTAATTTATATTTGTATTTGAATTTTAGTTCTATTTGTATTTGTATTTAAATTTTTGGTCAATTTGTTTTTTTACTTGAGTTTAAGAATATTTATTTTAATTTATTGTATTTATGTGAGTGTTAACAAATAAGTTGGTTAAATAAATAAAAAACTGAATTAGTGATTTCGTACTATATTGTACGATTCTTTAGCTTACATTTCGTGTAAAATACCACGAAACGTAAGGTGTTATTTCGTGTTCTTTGTCACGAAACTAAAGAACGTTTTCAAAACCCCAGTTTCGTCCTCCGTTTTCTATACTGATAAACATGTATACTTCGTGTACAAATACACGAAGTTGTTGAATACATTTCGTAATATAACCCACGAAATAGCGGGCAAATTTTGGTTTTTTTGGGAAAAGTTACAAATGAAATAAATCGCACTGCAAGTAAGTAAAAAACGTTTTATGAATAGCATTTCAGTTAAAAAAATCATATTTGCTCTCCAAGATCTTATTTATTGAATTGTTAAGATCTTTTAAAAAATTACCTAACATATTGGAAGAGCTTATAAGCTCTTAAACATCTAATAAGCTCTTTTTAACATCTTACAAGTTTAGCCAAACACCCTCTTAGATGACCTTATTTGATGAATAATTATGATTTTTATCCGATTTTATAATGTGATGTTGAAACTTCAATTTATATTTATTTTGAAATAAGTAGTTTGACTTTAAAATATTAAATTTTACATGTTTATAATATTTTTGTAATGTAAATATATATTCTTTTACTATTTTAATAGTGGTTAATTATCTTACGATTACGAGATATATTTACGATTTGATAACCATGCTTACAAGATACAAAAGAAAAACAAAAAATACAAAAAAACATGCGATTCAATATTATAAATAAATAAAGCACTAAAATGAATAAATAAATCAACAATTTTGGTAAAGATAATCACTACAAAACACTACGGCCAACCCTCTGAGAAAATGTTGAATTACGAAAAAGAAAAAAAGCCCCTCATGTTAGGATAATTATAACTGCCTCTTCAACTATGTATTTTTTATAAAAATTCTCCTCATTTAGTAGGTAAATCTGACCGTAAAAATGGACGTGTAAGACTACATAGTTGAGGAGATGGTGCAATTATCCAAATAGGAGGAATTTTTCATTGAACGATTTTTTCGTAATTTGACCTTATCTTGGGAGGTGGTCGTGATTTGCCCTTAAAAGAATAAATGAAGATCTATGAAATTTAGACAATAAATGGTAAAGCTTTATGATCCCTTGAGTTGACCAAATATTTGTTCAATTCTTTATTTTACACTTATTTTGATACAAAATATCACTTACAATCACATAAGTAACTTCAAATAAAAAATTAACCAACACATGGAACGCACATATCCATTTCTAGTAACACTATGGTTTGCATGCTATCATACGATAATATAGGTTTACCCAGCGTACTTGTATATTTGGTCGCAAGTTCTTTCATTATCAAATAAAAAAATATATATAAGAATTCATCCAAGCAATACTATTGTACACATGACAAAAGAAGAGCTAGTGCGACATTAGAATACACTCACCCACACACGATTGGCATTCGGGAATTCGTAGTGCTTGAACGGAATTTTAACCACCTTTCCCCTGATTGCTCGAAGAGGCAGTCAATTTAGTTAGCGTCCTTCTTATATCATTAATTGCTTCGGAAGTTTGATTATTGATCATAGTTTGAGATTCCATAAATCGTTGCAAAGTATCCTCTAAACTCCTCTTAGGTGCGGAATTGTAAGGCACAAAATTATAAGCCTCCTCGGAGTAGGGATTTTGATAAGGCTTCTTAAATGTGTTTGTAGCATTTGCTTCTCGATCACGCAACACTTCCTTAAAGATAGGAATCATCGGACACAAATTCGTAGAATGTTCCATGTTCTCGCAAATACTACAACTTTTATTAACCTTAGGCATATGCGTAGGCGTAGAAGCAATTCCGTTGAGTTTCCATAACTCTATGGCCTCGACTTTGTTAGCTAATGTGGCTAACCTAGCGTTGAAATCGTCTTCCTCCCTAATTCGGTACACGTCACCTACTAAAGATTCGGTAGTTGATCTACTAGACATATGTGAAATATTATTCATTTCCCAAAATTGTTCTCTTTCAGATGCAGCATCAAAATCGAAATACTGTGAAATATTATCCATATCCCAAAATTGTTCTCTTTCAGATGCAGCGTCAAAATCGAAATACTGAGACAATTGATCAGAATCTTTATTCAAGAATTCTCCATTACCAAATTCACGACGACCAAGGAAACCAGCTCGAATTACATCAGCATACTTTAATATCTGCACAAGAGCTACAAAAAATCAAGGGCTATAATATAATGTGTAATGGTGAAAAAAAAAACGCAACTAATCTGCATAAAATAAGAAGTACCTTTTTATCTGCCTTCTGGAACTTATTGTTCAAGGAATCCTGCTCCACTGTGTCGAGTTGGCCACTATGATGCTTCTCCAGCACCGTAATTTCGGCCTTCTCTTGGCCTACATCACCGAAATTAATGCATAAAATAAGTGCATTCTTAGTTCCTTGGGATTTTTGGAAACCTAATTAACGTCCGATAGAGATGAATGTACGCGACCAGATTCATATTACAGTAGAACCTCGATAAATTAATAACTTCGCTTGAATAATGATTTCTTCTGGGTCCCAATTCAGTAAAAACGTACTATATGTTTTTAGCTCGATAATTTAATATTTCACTAAATTAACAGAATTTTGTCGGTCCCAACTGTATTAATTTATAGAGGTTTAACTGTATAAGCAATGTCTTGAGAAGTAAAAACTACATCAGATTAGCTCTTTAGAGTTTATAATTACCATATGCAGCAGCTGGTTGGCCTGAGGGAGGCACCACAGGAACAGAGCTTTCGATCAAGTAGAGCGCAATGCAGAACTCCCTCAACGTAAGCATGTTGTCATTTTCTTGATCGGGTAATCCCCACACGATCTCTAAGACCTCTGATGAAACAAATGCAACATAAATTAAATAAAATAATAGTATTACGAACAAAATAAAAGATTTGCCTTGCTAAATATGTAACATGCTTCTTCAATCAACAAACCAAGTGACAGCATTAACATGTAGCTTGTACGCAAAGTTAAATAACAGCATCACAAAGCTCAAATTGATCAACGACTTCCACATGAATAAACAATACATCGAAATAAATAACGAGCACCATAAGAATGATACCTGTTTAAAGGGATATAATTATTATTATTATTTTTTATAATTCTAATCCTAAATGAAGACAAGTTACCTTGTGGCAGCTTCAACCGAAAGAATAAGTTGCGTGCCTGTTGAGCAGTAATTTTCCCGTCTCTGTCAGTATCAACTTGTTCGAATACCTTGCTGTACTTCTGAACACCAGACCGAGTCATCATTCGCGGCCATGGATGCCGAGATTGAGCAGAATAAATTCGATTTTCTTTCGTCTCGGTGGATGGGGACTGCTGATCTTGAACTGCAGTAGAACGGTCTGCTAAAGAAGTCAAAGTTGCGTCCGCAGAAGGTGACGGTGACACCAAATTTCCGGATTCCAAAGGAAAGCAATTTTCTGTCGGTGAAAGTGATTTAGATTCTTGTTTCCCCGACCGGGAATCCAACGAAGAAGTGCCATTCCCCACTGACGATCCAGACCGAAACAACTCTTTAATTTCTGGTGTTTTAGGTTGTGTAATAGTCGAGGATGCGGAAGCAACGCCTTCTTTACCATGCAAGGCAGCTTTCGTATTCGGCCGGGGAGTTAGTGTTGCTGCGAAATTTATTTGGGGAGCAGGGATTTTGGCTGAAGCTGGACCATGCAAGGCAGCTTTGACCGTATCTTTAGTCAATTCTCGCTTACTCTGTGCCACTGTAACCAGTTTAAGAGCATTATAAAATTCCGTACGATTAAGGAAACCATTTCTATTTTGATCAGCATGCCCCCATATCTGCACAAGAGCTACAAAAGTCAATTTTGATTTAAACTCGTAAAACTTCGGCACATCAAATAACCAATCAAAACAGCCAATCACTGTTAGTTGTTAAGCCAGTTCTAACTCATGACAAAAGTGAGATAGCGTAAACACGAACAATTCCATCACAATTTACGACCATCGCACCAAGTTGCAGCATACGACTTCCAAAACCGATCTCGATACTAAACGAACAGACAAAAATCAGCCCGAGTGGCGCATGACAAAACCAATACATACCAACACCAACCTCAAGCAATATTCGATTATTTCTTAACTTCTCTCGATTTCAGTTTTATAATTAGTGCTGATTTAATGCATCGAATTGACCGGTTACTACTTACTAAGCACAATTTTTCGACAAAAAGCCCTGAACAAACAAACAACTCCAGATCGGATAACTGCAAAATTGCTTCGTACAAAAAATGAGAAAATAATTTAGGGAACCTGAGCAAGGATTGGTCTGGATAAATCGGAGCCTTGGAAGAAATCAACCGCCTCCTTCCCGCTAATCCGACCATCCCCATCCGCATCGGCTCTCTGAAAATATTCCTCGAATTTGTCCGTAATCAGCTTCTTCACCGCCATTCTCCCTCACAGAAAATTCAATCTGTTTAACAAGACGAATCACTTTGAGTTTGCAGATCGAAAACGATCGAGAAGCATTCTGCAGAAGATGACTGGAATTTAGGGTTCCTAGTCCTCTTCACCATCAATCGCCAGCAAGCAGAGGTCAAACTGAGAAAGGTTCTTTTTTTTTTTTTTTAAATGGAAGAGTTGATCGGCCAAATTTCAAAGCACTGTTGAGCGGGTGTTGAATTGCGTTCCCGTTTTATAACGGGCGGGTAATAGTAATACTGAAATGATTTGTGCAGGCTAAAATTAAACAGTTAGGCACATTTTTTACCATTCTTCAAAAAACCAAAAGTAAAAAACTTAAAAATTCTCTCTACCCTTTCGATTTTCTTTCGCAAAGCCCGTGCAAATCGTCAACAGATCGGAGGTAATTTTTACGTTTTTACGATCCTCTTGTTATGTAGATTACGAATCCGAAGAAAAAAAACGAAAAAAATCGATCTTAGCAACGCTCGTGTGAATTTACACGAGCGCAGCCACTTCGCTCGTGTAAATTCACACGAGCGTGAATTATTTATTTATTTATTTTTTTTTATTTTTTTTTTAAATTTATTTCTTAAAAAATGGGAGTTGGATTTTTACTCGTGTGAATTTACACGAGCGCATCCAATGCGCTCGTGTAAATTCACACGAGTGTTTAATTTTTTTTTTTTTTTTTTTTAAATTTTTTTTTTTTAAATCCGATTTTTGCTTGCTCGCGTGGATTTACACGAGCGCATCCACTGCGCTCATGTAAATCCACGCGAGCATTTATTATTATTATTATTATTATTATTATTTTTTTAATAAATTAATTAGTTTAATTATAAGTTGTGCTCGTGCAAAAACATGCGAGCACTTTTGAAATGCTCGCATGTTTTTGCACGAGCACAACAAATTTTTTTTTATTTTTTATTTTTTTTATTTTTTTTTCATTTCATTATTTAAATTCTTTTTTTTTTATTATATGAAATATTAATAAAGTGCTTATTTAAAATGTAGATGGCAGGAGGTCGGGGGAAAAGTCTTATGAGTCAAGTTGCCGGTAAAGGCAAGAGCTTAATGAAAGCCTTGAGCGGGAAGGGGGACAATCCGGAAGATCCGGATCGCATTGGAGACCGAGATGTCCTTGACAATCCGGAAGATCCGGATCGCATTGGAGACCGAGATGTCCTTGCTTCCACCCGTAGAAGAAAGCAGTTAGCTCGAGAAGCAGCGTTACAGCGGGAAGAAGAGAGACTGAGACGAGAAGCTGTTGCAGCTGGAGCCGGACCCTGTACATTGCCACATGCCGACGACGATAATGACCACAACAACAATCCCGATAATATGGATACTGACGAGGAGATGGAGGAAGATGATGGGCCAGCAGATGCATTTCAGGATCGTAGAGGTGGTCGTGCCTTACCCTTTCCGCAGCTGCCTGGTCCGGCGTACTTGGAGGGTCCGTGCGAGGGAGGGCCGCAAAATTTAGAGTTTATGCGATGGTTCAAGTCGCATATAGCGATGTACATTTGGGAAGGATATGTAAGTTTTTCTGTCAACACGTGCTTTACATAATTCTTATATTATTCATTTTTTTTAGCTAACAATACATGCAATATTTTTCAGGAGCGCCGTGAAACTACACGGTGCGAGTCGAGGACCAAAGCACTCGAGGACTACCGCGGCCCGCAGGATAACACGATGATTGCGAGGTTGGAGGCAACAGGTCTTTACCACTTACGAGACTGTTTTCTGAAGAGGATGAACAAGAACCTCATGCTAGCTTTCGTGGAGAGGTGGCAGCCGGAGACGAACAGTTTCCACATGCCATGGGGCGAGATGACGATCACGCTCCACGATGTCGCTTTCATCATGGCGTTGCGGCTGGACGGACCAGCAGTGTCTGAAATTCGCCCGGTAGAAGAGTGCTCATAGAGTCTTGCATCTGTATTGGGTGTCGGTCTGATGGACACCAATGAGATGCTTCGAAATAAGGGAGTTGGTTGGGTTAAGGTGAGAGATCAGTTGACCCTTCCGTGCGCCACAGACTACAAGAAGATGAAGGGCTACTTGATGTTTCTGCTTGAGTCTGTTTTGTTTGTAGACAAAACAACGTCTAACATAAAGCCGTGGTGGATCCATTTTACCAACGATCTCGATAATGTCGGCAAGTATTCGTGGGCTTCGGCATGCTTAGCAAACATGTACTGCCAATTGGGTATTGCCACCCGCGCTGGGATGAACAGTCTCTGTGGATGTGTTATTCTCCTTCTGGTACGTGTACCTTTATTAGTAATTATTTATTTATTTAAACTTCTATTTTATTTATTTATTCATTGGTGTTTGTTTGCAGTGCTGGATCTTTGAGCATTTCCCCTGCTTTCGACCACCTCTTTCCCGTTCATATGCCGAGTTTGAGCCTCGATGCAGAAGGTGGGCCCATGGTGGAGGCAATAAAACCACGCTGCAGGAATACCGGAAAATACTCGACGCCATGACCGAAAGAGATGTGAGTAATAATTTTTCTAATTATGTCTATAGTAGAGTTACGGATTTTTCTAATTAGTTTAAAATATGCTTAGGTTTGTTGGACCCCGTACGGTACCGGTGCACATTACTTACATCCTCGGAGCATGTATTACGGCACGATACAGTTCATGGATATAGTGGAGCCGTACATGCCCGACCGAGGGTTACGGCAGTTTGGAAGAGTCCAGACTATTCCTTTCCCGATAATTGAATCGAACTTGCCACATAACCGCGGCTTGTTTGGCGCGGGATACAAAGTCACTTTCCACGGTCCTGGCGGCATGTGGCAGAACGAGTACGCCAACTTCATTGACCTGTCGCAATACCCTGAAGCCTGGCCGCCGGAAACAGTTGCCGAGGAGTACATGAAGTGTACATCGAGCGGATGCTCCGGATCATTAGCAACCCTGATAGAGTTCCGCCTGCAGTAACTGGTTGTTGCTGCGGACGCACCGGTTCATTAGCGACCCTGGTATTCGTGTGTTGTGATTTGTTGTTTGTTTTCGGATTAAGTTTTTTGCACGGATGTTTCATTTTGGATTTGCGGATTTTTTAATTACGT